ATCTTCCTTGCAATATTTGCTGAAGGAAGATCACCCTAAGGAGTGTGCTGCGGTTCCCATGGATAGGGACGGAGACGGGAAGTTACAATATCGCTTCAGTGATGTTGTTTGCTAGAAGCCATGGATGCAGATATGAGACATCCATGGATATGGATACAGACAAATGAAATATGATTACATGTTCTATTGTGAAGTTTGCATTTTTTACCCTGATAAGAGCACATTCAAAATGGATTACAAAAGAAAAAGTCACTTCTCAGAAGCCAAGAAAAGCCACTAAATATTATAAGTCATGCAAAATCTTATAAGATTGAAATATAAACATATATACATACATGAAAATAACAAATTCAACGTTTTTTATCCATATATTGTAAATTTTTTCCCATATATTTTTGCTCTTAAACAACTTACAGCAGTCAAAGCACCCTCAGAACCCTTATTTCCATGTTTACCACCAGCTCGATTGAAAGCCTTCAGACAGGAGAAAGAAAAAAGGTGGCAAAAAGTAGATAATGATCAGAAATCATGCAGCTCCATAGAAAACAATTCTCTAGGTAAAATACTTGTTAACAGTCAGTTTAGGATCATATTTACCTGGTCCAAGTTGTCACAAGTCAAGACGCTAAATACGCATGGAACTCCTGCATAGGCATCAGAAAAATCGCTTAAGTTTCATCTGGCGTCAACTAAACGATGAAGAAAGAGTAGAATTAAGATGGTAACGTTGGTATAAATGGTAGTAAAAAGATGGTTACAGAGATTACTTGCATTGCAGTTATCAACACTTCAACAGGTCTATCAATAAATTTCAACATATGTTTACACACATAAAGGGTAGAAGATAATCCTCATATCAGTTATACAAGAACAAGAACATAGTTAGCTCCCAACAACATAAACCTAAAACCATTATTGTTCCCAATCGAACTATTACTATTGTCTATATTGAAATGCTTTAAATGGGGCGTTGCTCCTCTGAAATATTACCTATAATACCATTCCATAAAAAAATGAAATACTTCGACTGATGACAATGGCCTTTGACGTTATAAAATCAAATTAATTATAAGAATTGCATGAGCGTCCAATTGAGGGAGAAATATAAGCTTTAATTGGAGACACCATTTTTTTTTTTTTAATAAAGAACTAAGAATGTGCATGTGATGGCACAATTTGAATTCATCTGTATCTATTTATGAATCTATAATAACCAGATTCTTCTTGTCCTTTTCATACCCTGAAATTCCTTAATCCCTCATGGTTCATAGATGTCAAAACTGGAACGATAAAGTCAACTTCACTTCAATATTTAAGTATTTAGAATCTTATACGCTCTTAAATGTCTCAAGATATGATGGTCTCAAAATTCTTGAACATATCAATTGGATTCAAAAACCTTAACCACCATGCTTAATGCTCAACCATTGAGGTTGAACTTGCAAAAGGTAAGCAAACAGAACAAATATTGGCAAGAAAAATTCAAATTAACAGGGAACTACTAAACTCAAAAAAAAAAAAAAAAAAAAAA